CTCATCCATGTACCTATCCAAACCTTTTTTAAATGTTGCTATTGTACCTGCCTCAACCACTTTCTCCGTCATCCCGTTCCATATACGTACCACTCTCTGCGTGAAGAAGTTGCCTCTGGGGTCCTCCTTAAATCTGTCCCTTATGACCTTAAACCTATGCCCTTTCCAAACAAGTTGGGAAAATATAGAAACAAAAGCAGTAATTGTTGGGAAAACTCAGCAGGTTTGGCAGCATCTATGGAGATACCCTTCTGGAGAATGGCCACTGGATCCAAGACAATAGCTCTGCTTTCTGTCCACAGGGGAAGGTGATGGCCTAGTGGTATTATCGTTGGACTGTTAATCCAGAGACCCAGATAACGTTCTGGGGACCTGAGTTCGAATCCTGTCACAGCAGCTGGTGGAATTTGAATTCAATAAATATCTGGAATTAAGAATCTAATGATGACCATGAATCCATTGTCGATTGTCAGGAAAACCCATCTGGTTCACTAATGTCCTTTAAGGAAGGAAACTGCCATCTGGCCTATATGTGACTCCAGAGCCACAGCTATGTGGTTGACTCGTAACTGCCCTCTGGGCAATAAATGCTGGCCCAGCCGGCGACGCCCTCATCCTGTGAATGAATAAAGAAAAAAAAATGCTGCCAGACCTGAGTTTTCCCAGCAATTTCTGTTTTTGTTTCTGATTTCCAGCATCTGAAGTTCTTTGGTTTTTTTTGGTGGGAAAATATAGGTGTTCATGTATGTTGATTGCGGTAGTTCTATGAATTTAAACATACTGTACCAGGAGAATTAATTGTCTGTAAAAAACTGATGTGTAGTTTAATTAAGTAGTAAGGAGACAATGAGAAGATGACTGAAATTTTCATACATTCTAATTTTAAAAATGTTGAGCACTTCAGGTTAGGACCCATTCTCAAAATCTTTAAGCTCGTTATCAAGCGATTTTGTGTTTCTCTCCCATTACTCCCATTTGAAATCTTTGTGACTCTGCCACAGTCAGGTGTTCATTTTGTAAAGCACCAGTGACATTAACTCTGATCTTTCTTTCTAAATGGGAGCTGAATTTATATCTACTACGAAGAGAATGGATATTGCTATGTCAGTAGTATTACTTACTGTATTTCGGGAGAGTAAGAGAAGGAGCATGAATTTCTTTATCTTGCGATGATGGAATGATCCTCTCTGTCCTGCTCCTTCTTATCATGTGCTGCCTTCTCGTTGCAAACCAGAAAAGAGATAGAAGACAAATAATCACGTTCAACCTGGGGAGTGTTGCTGAACAAAGAGACCTTGCAGTGCAGGTTCATAGTTCCTTGAAAGTGGAGTCGTGGGTAGACAGGATAGTGAAGGCGGCATTTGGTATGCTTGCCTTGATTGGTCAGTGCTTTGGGTGTAGGAGTTGGAAGGTCAAGTTGAGGCCATCCAGGACCTTGGTTAGGCCACTTTTGGACTACTGCATGCAGTTCTGGTCGGCCTGCTATAGGAAGGATATTGTGAAAGGGTTAAGAAAAGATTAACAAGGATGTTGCCAGGTTTGGAGCTATAGAGAGAGGCTGAATAGGCTGGGGCTGTTTTTCCTCGAGTGTCAGAGAATGAGGGGTGACCTTCCAGAAGTTTATAAAATCGTGATGGGCATTGAATATGATAAATTGCCAAGGTCTTTTCCTCTGGTAGGAGAGTCCAAAACTAGAGGGCATAGGTTTAAGCTGAGAGGAAAAAGATTTAAAAAGGACCTAAGGAGCAACATTTTCACACAGAGGCTGGTTCGTGTACAGAATGAGCTGCCAGAGGAAGTGTTAGAGGCTGGTACAGTTACAACATATAAAAGGTATCTGGATGGGTACATGAATAGGAAGGGTTTAGAGGGATATGGGCCAAATGCTGGCAAATGGGACTAGATTAATTTAGGATATCTGGTCGACATAGATAAGTGGGACCTAAGGGTCTGTTTCCATGCTGTACAGCTCTGTGACTCCAAATATCAAAAGAATTTTCAGCAGGTGTACTTAATAAGCACAGTTATGAAGCTTTGAGATAGAAGGATTTGTCCTGACTAAATCTGAAGGATGTGACCAAAAGAATGGGTACCTGTAAGCACTGATGGTATAGAGCCAACCTTCTGTAAAATTTATCGTGCTTAGTAATTCTTACCAACTCTAAGTTATTGTGAGGATAAGAAAATGTGTGCTATTCATTATTTAATTATTTATTTATGCTTATTATGTGCTGTCTTAAGACATTCTGCCTTAGATCACATTGTCAAATCTGTCAACTTTTTATATATTTGACTTCAAACTATTGGAGTCAGCATTGGTGTCATACACTACTGCTGTATAATGTATCCTCACCCCTGCTCTTGTATGAGCTATTGGCCATCATAAGGTTTAATAAAATTTCAATTTAATAAGTTTAAGAAGACTGCTGTGGGTCCCAGGTCACATGGAGGCCAGAACAGGTGAGGATAGCAGGTTTCCTTTCCAAAAGGATATTAGTGAAACTTGTTTCAGAGGTAGCAGGAACTGCAGATGCTGGATGAACACAGCAGGCCGAGCAGGAAGGCTGATGTTTCGGGCCTAGACCCTTCTTCAGAAATGGGGGAAGGGAAGGGGGTTCTGAAATAAATAGGGAGAGAGGGGGAGGCAGATAGAAGATCAATAGAGGAGAAGATAGGTGGAGAGGAGACAGACAGGTCAAAGAGGTGGGGATGGAGCCAGTAAAGGTGAGTGTAGGTGGGGAGGTAGGGAGGAGATAGGTCAGTCCAGGGAGGACGGACAGGTCAAGGGGGCGGGATGAGGTTAGTAGGTAGGAGATGGGGGTGGGGCTTGGGGTGGGAGGAGGGGATAGGTGGGAGGAAGGACAGGTTAGGGAGGCGGGGACGAGCTGGACTGGTTTTGGGATGTGGTAGCGGGAGGGGAGATTTTGAAGCTTGTGAAATCCACATTGATACCATTGGGCTGCAGGGTTCCCAAGCGGAATATGAGTTGCTGTTCCTGCAACCTTCGGGTAGCATTGTTGTGGCACTGCAGGAGGCCCAGGATGGACATGTCGTCTGAGGAATGGGAGGGGGAGTTGAAATGGTTCGCGACTGGGAGGTGCAGTTGTTTAGTGCGAACCAAGCGTAAGTGTTCTGCAAAGCAGTCCCCAAGCCTCCGCTTGGTTTCCCCGATGTAGAGGAGGCCACAACGGGAACCGTGGATGCAGTACACCACATTAGCAGATGTGCAGGTGAACATCTGCTTGATGTGGAAAGTCTTGTTGGGGCCTGGGAAGGGGGTGAGGGGGGAGGTGTAGGAGCAGGTGTAGCACTTAATGCAGTTGCAGGGAAAAGTGCCAAGTGTGGTGGGGCTGGAGGGGAGTGTGGAGCGGACAAGGGAGTCTCGCAGAGTGTCCCTATTCCCAATTCCTTCGCCTCCGCCGCATCTGCTCCCAGGATGAGGCATTCCACTCCCGTACATCTCAGTTGTCCTCGTTTTTCAAGGACCGTAACTTCCCCTCCTCGGTGGTCGAGAACGCCCTCAACCGTGTCTCCCACATCTCCCGCACCTCATCCCTCACACCCCGTCCACGCAATAAGAACCAAAAAAGAATCCCCCTCGTCCTCACGTACCACCCCACCAACCTCCGGATCCAACGCATCATCCTCTGACACTTCCGCCGTTTGCAATCCGACCCCACCACCAAAGACATATTTCCCTCCCCACCCTTATCTGCTTTCCAGAGGGGCCACTCTCTCCGGGACTCCCTTGTCCGCTTCACACTCCCCTCCAGGGCATCCTGGGCCTCCTGCAGTGCCACAACGATGCTACCCGAAGGTTGCAGGAACAGCAACTCATATTCCTGCAGCCCAATGGTATCAATGTGGACTTCACAAGCT